CTCTGTCTGTAAATTTATCAATTGCCTAAGAGACATTCTTCTTCAGCTTTGAATTCCATCTCCATTGGTGTGATTCTACTTAATTCTGCAAAACGTCATGACTTTTAGTGCAGCCTTCCAGAGGCACACTTCACTGCTGTGCTGCCCTATGTTTTTATCCCAATCTGGGCCACTCCAAGTCAAAATGAAAGGGTTGGTGAATGGAAAAAGACATATAGCTTTACTGAAAATATCTGCTTTCCAATAAACATCCCTAATGTTATTTGTCTATCACAGATACAAGCTAAAAGTACTTGAGGCACAGCTTTGACAAATAAAGGAGTGTAATTAGAGTTGTATCCAGGAGTACATAGTATTCCAAAAGAAAACTTAGAATATATCGTTGGGAAGCTCACCTGCACCTTGCAAATCAGAAGGCCAAATCAGAATTTACTGAATCAATCCCCTTTTTTTTCTTTCTTTTTTAAACAAACTAGTCTCCTAGATTCTCAACATCAAAAACTTCATGACTTGAGACTGGATACCATTTATTGTACGTCTTCAGTTGCTGTGACTATTCCACCGATTTTAGGCATATAACAGTTTTCCCCACTTCATTGGGTAAGCAAGCAAAATTATTTTGCACAAAATATGAAAGTTCATGAAGTTATTATAAACCTGAACAGACAAAACAGGTGAATGAACAAGCACGATGAATAAAACATCTTAATAGTAATACAAATGTTCCTAACAAAATGAAAAGTAAAAGTGGGATTAAAACATTAAACTAAAAAGCAGTACACACCTTTAATGCAATTTTGACTCTTTTAATCTTTTTGACCTTTTCAACTGTCTTTGTGCCGAAAATGTAAAAAGCAGATTGAAAGAATGTTAGTACGACAGCTGACAAGATCATCAGCAGATTAATAATAGTCAGAATATTCAAGACTGAACGTAAAGAATCAGATAAAGAATTCTGTCTAGTAGGTTTATCAAATATACTAGGTATTACCAGCAGAACAGAATTTTTAATAACAAAAATTATTTATAAAGGTAAACAAAGATGAATTCTTTATCATGTAACTTACAGGATTGAGTGTATTACACTGGTCTATGGGATTCTTGTAGTCAGTCTTCAGCTCATCAAATGCTATAATCTAGAATAAAATTGGAACAATTAGAACTCTTCAGTTCAAATGTAGTGTAAAAAAAAAAATCTCACCATGAAAAATCATTTATTATAACAGAGCCAGAAGTGCTACAAACACAATCCTAATAAGGTTGTGTTTCTCATGTAAAGAAATAATTCCTTAAACTAAACCAACTATAATTAGAAAGTATTTGAAACAGGTCTGCTTTGTCTTAAAAAACATTCAAGCGCATCTAAATTAGCTTCAGATTTTTCTACACATCTTATATACTCACAATGCTCTGGCATTTTGCATTTCACTGCCTCACACCCTTTTTCTCCTACTATGCAGTTATGTAGTATCACTGCAAATAGCATTTAGTCTCACAAAACATATCCATGGTGCATAAAAATCCAGGAGGTTGCATGTGACACATACTTGCTCTGTGCTGAGTGCTTTTCACTTATGCCAGCCAGTTAATTAAATGCAAGCTATCACAATCTTTGAAGAGGCTGAATGGATGATATCTCTGCAGTCAAAGAATGAGATGGCTGGCAAGAGAGACAGATTCAGCAGTCAGGAACAACTTTAAGGCAGAACTTTTACCCCATACACTAATGCTTAAGAAAAGGTGAACCTGCCAAGGAGAAATAGAATCAAAGCCATTTTTGTAAAATGAATACCATGGCACCAAACTATACCAAAGAGTTCATTTATACACCAAAAAGAAAAGCAAGAACCATGGAAAAATCAAGTATGAGAACCAAAACATCAAGTAATCAGTACTATCAGTATCCTTTATATTCAGTGTACGTACACTAGAACATGTCTACATTAGGGATGTTAGATAACGTTTATTCTAGTAACTGTGTAGCCACCAAAAAAAATGTATTGGTTACACAGTTATTAAAATGCTCCATGGGGTGGGGCTGACAGCCAGTGCGCTCCCAGCCCCAGTGCCCAGGAGACCCCTACCACCGTGCTCTGCTGCATCTGTATCAGATGCATTGGGCGGGAGGGCAGGCAGGAGGTGAGTTGTCAGGGCATCCTCTGCCCGTGGGGAGCTCAGAACCCACATGGACAGGGGCTGCTGCCACCCCACCTGCAGCAAGGTGGCAAGCACAGGCTTCCACCTGCCCCCACCCATGCTGCCTCCATGGCCCCAAGAGCTGGCACATGTGGAGAGCCATCTTAAAAAGCCGGCTCCTAATGGGTACTGACTCCTGCCTGCCCTCCCCCCACTTTTGCCTCTGATAGAGAAGCAGCAGCAGGGGGTGGCTTTGCTTGAGTCTGGCTTAAAAGCTGGCTCCCCATGAACAACAGCTCTCGCCTCTTCCCCCTTGCTGCCTCTGATACAGAGACAGCAAGGGGTGTGTGCTGTCTCCGTCAGTAGGATTAAGGCCACATTTCTCAAACTGTGGGTCCCGACCCCCCGGGGGGGTCGTGAGCAATTTAAAGGGTGTCACGATATCACAAAGTTTGAGAACCCCTGGATTAAGGGATAAACCCAGGCTATATGTTAACATCCCTAGTCTACACCGCATTCTGTGTTACAATAGAGCTTATTAAATCACTACGAAGCTGAAATTTAACCTGGACAAATCTAAATATATTACACGCCCAAACACTATTCATGCTACAGCAAAGCATTTAACACATTTAAATTTATTTCTTCCCTCAGATCCACTAGTACTTCCTGGTGCACTTAATGCTGCCTGAAGATGCATTTCTGTGGCTTAGATAATATCAGACTTCTGGTAATAGGGATGTCCCAGAATGAGGTATCCTGGGTAGGGATTTGAATGACTAGTCGCTTCCCTTCCCCCTTGCTGCCTCTATCAGAAAGAGGCAGCAGGGGAGGCGTGCTTCAAAGTGGCAGCACCGCATGGAGCCCAGGGTCTGTTGCATGCAGCCTAGGGCCAGCTGGGGACATCCCACTGGTCTCCCCTCACCCCGCCCTCCCCAGCAGCACTTTCACCTTCGAAGTGTAGCAATAGCCCTGGAACTGTTGCTACACTTCAAAGGCAGAGGCACCCTTACTGACTAATTGAATAGTCAATGAAAATTGCATTGACCATTTGATTAGCCAGTCAATCTAAATTTAACATCCCTAATCCTGGGACAAATTCAGCAACCGGAAAATTGCAGTGGACCAATGGATGCAAAAGTTCCAGAGACAACAAAAAGCACCACAACTTAAAATTCTGCTGATATGAAAGTTCAGTCAAGTTTAGTTTGCTCAACAAGGAAAATAACACCCTCAAAAAATCCACTCATTCACTGTTATGATGGCCATTCCTAAAGATCATCTTCATCTCCTATCAGTGCTTCTCTACAGAACAGGAATATCATAGCTACTTGAATCTAGGGTTCCTAAGTTTCCACCATTAGTCTTTCCCCTCTGTGGCAGTAAAAGACCTCAAATAATAAGCAATATATTTGCAGAATTTAAACTGAAAAGGGTGCACACCACAGGGAAACTAGGGGAAAAAAGCTCACTTTTTCCATTAAATATAAAACTTATTTGACTTAAGACAAAGATTTTAAATACATATTCCTTCAAATAAAATACCGATATTTAAAAGTATAAGACACCCACATTTTCAATTAAAAATGTTTAACAAACCCAGTAATGCCTTTGAAAAGTCTATTCATCTACAGGTGAATATTGTCAGTTTTATATCATTAAGGCAGAAGTGGGGAACCTTTTTTGGGTCAGAGGTCACTGAGAAGCAGAAAGACACTCCCCACATTTCCTCACTAGAGCATGGGTTCCCAAACTGGGGGCGTGTGAAGAAATTCCAGGAGGGGGAAGGCACAAGGCAAACCAGCCCCCAGCAATACCCTCCCCAATTTGTGCTGTTATTTTTGTTTTTCGGACCCGGTCAGTTCCTTTTTTCTTTTTTTCACCCCTCAAGTTTTGCTGCTATTTGGGGTTGGGGGAGGGGGAGGAGGGAAGCATGAGGGTTTCTCAAAAATCAAAAAGAGGGCATGATGCCGAAAAGTTTGGGAACCACTGCACTAGAGCCTAGGTGGGCCTGGGCTACCAGGCTAGTAGATTTTGTGCATTCCAGCTCCACACCAGTGGTATCCTTGAGCCTCGGGGCCTGGATCCAAGCAAGCTGGGGGATGCATCTGGCTCCCAGGCCTGAGATTCCCACCCTTGCATTAAAGTAATGATGAGCAAGCAGGTTTTGTATCTGGGCTGTTGAGTTTTCAGATGAATTCTACAAAGCTGGTTTACACCAACAGGAAGTTACAATTAAGGATGTAAAATCTCATTTAACCAGTTAATTGGTTAACCACTTAACCAGGAAGGGGGGGGCACTACCGCCTGGCTGGGCTGGAACTGCTCCAGCTTGGTTGGGCCTACCATGCTTTGAGCTGCCCTGGTGAGACCAGGCTGGGCACCACAGGCCTAGCCAGGCTGTGGTTAATCTGTTACATCCCTAGTTACAATGTATATCTGATCAATTATTTTACACATGCAGTTTCATATATACACAAAATAGGGCACCATTCCTCAAATCAATAATCCCTAAGAACATCCAGCCATGACCAAAAGTCTAGATTGTTACCATTTCTTATGGCCTTCCTAAAGCAAAGCCATGCAACACATTAAATTACACTTCTCAGGCCAGTAGAGAAAATAGTACAGAAAACATTAGAACCTATATTGTGAAAAAGTGTTAAAAAATATTAACACGTCATCTATCAGGCTGTTAACTCTTAGGGCGGGCATTGACAATTAGTCTTTGAAGTGCTACATAGGTTTTAAAACAACTTTCTGTAGTTAACATAAAAGGAAAAACTAACAAGATGGTTTAATAGATGATGGCCCACGAATGCTCATCACCTAATTAAACCATCTTGTTAGTCTTTAAAGTGCTACATAGTTTTTCCTTTTGTTTTAGCGAGATCAGACTAACACGGCTAGCTCTCTATTACTGTGGTTAACATGTGCATCTAATACATTTTAAAACAGCTAATCTTTATTCATGTTAACAAAACCGTTCACTTTCTCTAATGAACTTAAACTCTACTCCAGTGGAGAAAGAGCAGAGGTTGGAGGAAAGATACCCAAGGGTTAGCCATGGTCAATGTTTTTATTAAAGACAATTTGCTTTTTGTTTACAGAAAGCACTGTATGATATCTAACACAGTGTCAGTTTTCTAAGGTGATGGAATTTTCTCCTTCTCACAGCATGAGGGATGCATTCCATTACTTTAAATGAAACAGTGTAGGGGAGGCAATACCTTTTATTGAACCAATTTCTGCCAGTGAAATAGACAAGCTAGTTTACACAGAGGTCTTCATCTATCTTATCTCACTATCATCCTTGGACCAATACAGCTGCAACAATTAAAACACTTCAAATTAGCTTAAGTATCATCTATAAACCATGAGTTTTGAATTAGGACAAAGGAAGCAGGAACAGAGTCGGCTCTGGGGTGGATTAGCAAAGGAGGGAGAAGGTTAGGCAGTAAAATCTCTGCTCCCATCTCGCTCTATATGCACAGGGAAACTCTGCATGGTGCAGTTGGCTGCATACTAGAATTGTAAAATCCAATTTAATTGTTTAACCGGTTAAACAATGTTTAACCGGTTAAACAATTAAGGGGGTGCCAAGGGATTCCAGCAGAAGCAGCCTCTGCTCCAATCCCCACCAGTTAACCATTCACATGCCTACTGCATACCAATATTTAAAAGCATAAAACCCCCACATTTTCAATTAAAAATCCAGGGGTCTTATAATAAAACAGTTTGCATTAACCTTTGAAAATTCTACTCATCTACAAGTGAATACTGTCAGTTTTGCATCATTAATGTAATAATGAGCAAGCAGGTTACATGTCTAGGCTGGTGAGTTTTCAGGACAATTTTGCAAAGCTGATCTACACAAACAGGAAGTTTATATATATATATATGAATAATTATTTTACACATGCCATTTCATATATACACAAGAAAGGGATCATTAGTTTGAGGAATGGTACCCTAAGAACATCCAGCCATGGCCAAAGGTTATGTGCAACCCTGCATGGTGCGGAGCTGGCAGAAGGGAGAGCAGGGGGCGAAGTGCAGCCATGGAGGAGTGGTCAAATCTCTGCACCCATCCCCTGCATGAACACAGGTGGGATGGAGCTGGCTCTCTAGAGGGTAGCAATGGGGAAGGGGGGAGTTACCCCTCGGCTCCACTCCTGCGAATAACCAGTTAGATTTCTGCCGCCACCTCTGTGAATGCGCAGAGACACAGCTCTGGGAAGTGATCTCCGCACCCACCCCTGCGAGTGCTGGTGGATGGGGGTGGAGACGGCTCCAGGAGATCTTCGCCCCCACGCTGCGTGCGGAGGAGCAAGCGAGATGGCAGGAGGGCCGGCAGGAGGAGGGGGTTGACCTCTGCCCCCACCCCTGGGCGGGCGTGGCGGGGGGGGCTCCGC